TATTTTAGACATGAATCAATTCACGCCGAAACAGCCCGCTGAAATTGTACATTGAAATCAATCGTCCCTTGTCACTTTGTTCGGAAATGCGTAAACACGTTCTGGAGAACTTCTATTTTCAACAAGACGGCGCACCTTGCCACACCGCTATAGTATGAAGTTTTTGCAGAGCAAGTTCCCGAATTTGATGGAACCGGATTAATTGAATTTATTTTCAATAAATGGCTTTGTCTCCAAATAAATTTTGTTCATTTGTCAAAATTGGCAGAGAGCGGAATTATTCAATGTATAAATGGTGCACTCTGTACAGACTCCCACTTTTAGTTAATTTGTTAATGTTTTATAAATTATTTCATCTAAAAATTGGTTATCAAATGTAAGCTGAAGATCGATGCAAAACACAAATTTTGGAGAGACAGATGCCCAAACCGAGCACCAACAACGTAGTGTTTAAATTTCTTGGAAGTGAAAGGATTCCCAGCTTAGGTATCACTGTAAGCCATTAATAGGTACGTAATCCGTAACTCTCCTGAATTCAGCAAAAACCAAACAGAGCTTACGAAATTATCAAAATTCAAAGAAAAGCACCAGAACTTAAGCTGTTTCCTACTATATGTTAGATCCTATTTAGACGAATGTATCAAATCACCGAAGACTTCTTCCACGCAAAAGTACTTAGTGGATTGAAGTCTTACATAAAAATATAATTAAACTTTACGATACTGCAATATTTCGGGGGTAATACATCTTGAATAGAAATGTCTTTCCTCCTTCTCGAAAACTTTGCCTGACTGATCTCGACTCGTTTCTAACGCGTCTCCGTGAGTCCCTTTTTTCCCTGCAGAATTGTGATTGTTAGTCGACGAATTTTCAATTGCAAATTGAATATCGAACTCGCATTTCCAATATTCACAGGATTAAACTTTAAATTTGTCTTGATTTCGGCAAACACGCTTATTTACATTTACTCAAGCGGTGCTTAACACATGGAAGTATTTTAAACATTCGCAAAAGACTTTATTGTGCAGATAAGCCACCGTGTATAGAAGATTGTACACTTTGCGCTTATTCAAAACTCTACTTATTTATTCATTTGAATTCAGTGCTTATATTGCCCTCTGAAGTACCTACTTTACATTGCTTTGAATTCCTACGACACAATCTGCCTATTTAATCTCTTTATTCACTCTCTTTTTTGACACTCGACGCGAATTAATCAAAGACTAAATGAAAGATATAATTATTATCGAGGCGAGTGAATTGTACTCGAAAAATCAATTGCAATTACAGTGAAATTTGCATTAGATTGAGGCAATCATTTTCCCTTCCCTTCACACTTTTCCGCCTGAAATCAATCTTCTTCCATCCACTCGACGTTTTATCCTCAAAATTTGTCCCAATTAAGAATATTTCCACTAAACCAATTTAAATAAAAATCTCGCCGGCTTACGTACCTATAAAGAACTCCTCGGAGAGCTTAAATGGCGTTTGTTATGCCCGGCCTGAGATCGCTAATGTCCGGATTACAGCTCAATCCTCGTGTTTTTAAGTTAATTAAAAACGTGAAATGAGTTGAAATTTGAAAATCTCGGCCTCGTGAGAAACTTTCCCTTAAGAGTTAATGGAATGCGAAACGGGGAACTTGTATCTGCTGCATAAATCGAAATTGGGAGTTACTTAATTACTGCTTATTAATTTATCGCTCAATAAAGTATTTTAACCATTTTCCCTAGAAATTGTATTGGGAGATGTTTGTCCAATGGTCAAAAATAAACGAGAACGAAATTCTTAAGGGGAGATTCCAGTAGGTTCACTTCATATTTCTAGGAAAGTTTACGTCGTGACATCTGTCTTCGTTCTTTAACGCCAATGACTAATCGTTCATGGCGCCTCAATGTCTATCGGGATTTCTGGAATATTCGCTACATTTAGGTACGTTATTATACGAGGGCTGTGTAAAAATTAAGGTTCCCAACGCTGGACCGTTTCCGCACGAGATACTAGGTGAAATCCCGCGACACCTCCGTGTTCGCCAATTCCCTGACGCCAGATCCCGCCGTGGTAGAGCTCGCTGCGACGCTCAGTATTCGTGCAGTGATCCGATTTTTGAACGCTAAAAGGTTACGTGACGTTATTAGGCCCCCCTCCCACGGTACGATCATGAAATTGATAAAAATGTCTAGAAGGCCTGAATTAAGCGTTTTCAACAAAAAAATTTACGGGGGAAATCCTACATTTTCAACAATCTTAATACAAAGTTCACATAATTTCATCGAAATGTGAGGTTATGTTATTTATATTTCATGATTACTTTTATGTTGGAAAGATTGTGAGCAACATTTCAACTTCAATTTCTTAAGAGGTTATGATATTTTCCACGATTCGATAAACGTTAATGTGTTTCTAATTAGTAAGTACACATGTTTTACATAATTCATGCGTGTACATTAAAATGTCCCTTCCTTTCGAGTGATGAGGCTGGTACAAAAAAGGAGTTCGAAGTTAATCGGCGGGATGTAACAAAAAGGACGTCTATGGAAGATGCGAAAGATGTCCCTTCCCCTTTCGGGTAATAAGGCGGTCGATGCTAGTCACAGGTTGATACAGAAAATGCGTTCGAAGTTAATCGGCAGGATGGAAGATGCGAAAGATGCCTCTATCTCTTTTGACTCGGTAGTCGGTATGGAAAAGGCAATCCTTGCCAGATGCAAAATGTAACCCTCTCTACGACATTCTTCTTTCTTTAGATAATTTAAGTGCACTTCCAAAAGTGGTTTTATTAAAGTGTATCCTTATTGAACATAGAAGGGTCGCTTATTTTGTGTATAAGTCGAATTGAACCTAAAACTGTACTGTGTATTGTACCTATTATACTACTTTTATTACATTAACTGTAGTAAAGAAAGAAGTTAACGTAACCTTTTACAAATGTCACTTAAACAATCACATTTTAGGGTTTTACCAACCTAAGAAACGAAATATAAGTAGCATTTATTACTCTTTTAGTATTGAAATTATTATTTGTTTTTAATTCCATGTGACTTTTTTTACGTTTACATCTGACGAACTTAAAATTTCTAAGAAAAGAGTGATCAGCGTTTCACAATTCGATTCACGATTTCCACAATTTACCCAAAAGGTTGCCACAAAATCAAATCTAATTAAAATGTTGGTTTTCCCGAACGTATTCACTTCATCGGAGCGTTTCCAATTAATTTTCCTAAATACGGTTACTCGCTCATTTTTTTTCCTAATGTATACAATCCAATGTAAATAAAAGAAGTTGCGATCTCGTAAATGTTCTTAAAAACCTTTGCCTCTTCAAGTCAAATTTAAAAAAATTGTGCATAAACTTGTGGATTTTCGCCACTAAGCCAAGCAAAAACTAGATAAGAAATGTGGAAAGGAATTATAAAAGCTTGTGGGTAGCAATAATTTATCGGAAATGGAATCCATGTGAAAGTATAAAATGAAAGTGGAAAGAGTTTCTAATGAATAAATTTAAGCCCTTCGGTATAGGTTTTCGGTTGATGTAGTAGTAACCAAGCAATTTCCATTAATTTTGCGGAAACGGTAACCGCGTACATGTTATTTATTAAAATTTATATTGAATGCTAACTGCCTTACAGTTTTCGGAAAAATAGCTTGTCAAGATTTTCTTTAATTTGCTCCTTTGATTTTTTAGGTTGGTATTAGCAAAATTTCAGTTAAAAGTGAAATAGAATATCAGCATTTAAAGCACATTTGTCACTTTTTCGACATGTAAAACGGAATTTATTAAATTATGTGCACAACAAAAAATTAAAACGCGGACCCAACTTCCATCTGTAGATATTCGCAAGAGCATATCCGAAAAAATATAGGTTCAATATGAAACAAAATTTATAAGTGGGAAGCTACAATCCTCACTTTCGATATGTAGGTAGAAATATACGGATTTATGTAAGTTGAAGGATCAATTTTCTTAAAATGATTGACGGTGTTGATGCTTTGGCATAAACTTCCCCATCCAAAATGACAGACGGTCTTTTCGTTTCCTGAATTTGATCTATAGAATAAAGCTGTCACGGCGGTATTGTTTCAGTTTGAACAGATTGTAGGTAATTGTAGCGTTGTATCTAGCTAGCGTGTTTCTTGATAATTATTCTTATGCGTTTTACGTCCATTAAATCTTATGTCTCAGTACAGTTGGCCCACTTTCAATTAATGTCAAAATTTCTTGTACAGCATAATATGTTTAAATAAACAGTTGAAATCAAGTACCTAATCCTATATGATTTTGGATTTACCCTAACGTTAATTAATTTTTTTTGCTACATTCGTGATAGCTAAATTTTAATCAAATATGGCAATGTTGCCATTGATAAACTTAAAAGATTTGGACTTGAAACTGAATCCCTTACGACAGGTAGGTAATCAATATGTCTTTCGTAATGCATTGTAAAGCCGCATTTGCTATACGTATTTGGAACATCCAAAGTGTTACCTGAATCTGGGAAAATTGGTTCAAGCGTTCTTAAGCCTGTTTGATATTATTCCTGCTTCCAACTTGACATTTAAACTACCTACTTCATTAAGTTGTGTGTACCTACTTATTTATTCGCTAAGAATTTATCCGAATCGGACACATTAAAGTCCCGCATTTATGAAGAAGCTGATGAGAGTCGAAGCAAAGAGCCAGTTAGTACTCGAAAAGAAAAGTATAAAGGAACTTTTAAAACACACCGCGATACGAGATTTTGATGTATTAGAAGATATTGAAATTCAAATTATTTAATATCGGCCTTTCTCTACAGCCTTCAAAGTCGGTTTGTTTTACACACAAATTGAAAATCTTAAATTTTATAATTTACTCCGGCTCTTAATACTGATGCTTCTGGCCGAGTTCATACGCAAACATGAATTACAATTGAAAAAATCCCTTTTACGCAACCGCAGGGAAATTTAGTTCCAAAATTATGAGATCGTAAGGAAATACAAGATATAAGTTATCAGTTTACCTTATTTACATGGCGTCTGAATCTACCCGTGGAGCAGTTCGATTTGGATAACTGGAACACTCTCCAATTTTAGCGTTGGTGAACCTGAAACAAAACAGATGTCGCGTTAATTTCTCATCTCGAGTAAATCACTGTTTTTTACCTGTATTTTAATCTTGAAAAATACAACCAAAGTTATTTTTGGTGTGCTTTTAGTGCTACACTGCATTTAATGTTATCAACCTGACTGCAGTTGCTTCCTCTCTACTGAACTCAGAACCCACTTACACAAATGCCATACTTCTATAAACACCCTACCAGCCCTAGCAATCGTCCTTTCGACAGTATAAGGGGAAAAAGTCCATGATTACATTATAGCTACAGGAAATGTAATCCTACCGAAAATGTTCTCTGCGCTTCCAGAATTGCAAAAAGTACATTTTGCTTTTACTTATGATCCAAAGGTACGGTGGACAACTTACTTAATACCCACAAACTCGTCCACCGTCAATGGAACAAATATCGAAATCAGAAGATTATCATATCTGCAAAGGCACAGAAAGGACACAAAAGTTGTAAATTTCCAGAGGCTTAGAGCAAAAACTAGACGTCTAATCGAAAAAATCAAAAAAGATTCGTGGTCAACTTACACCTCTTCTATCCCAATAAAAGTATATGGAACAAAATTCGAAAAAACGTAACGCAAATTATAAACACGCTCTCAGATAACAACAAACTCATATCGTGTAAAATGAAAATCCCCGAAATCTTAGCGAATACTTACGAAAAGAATTCCAGCGACGATAACTTAAATACCTCCTTCCTAAAACACAAAAAAATCTCAGAATTTAACAATCTCTCAATTACTGAATCCGAATGCCACCTAAACTCCTCCCTCACACAGCCAAACTAATTATAACATTTTCCAGAAACATTTTTCCTAGGCCAATTTAATAGTAATACCAGTCCTCAAACCCAAAAAACCAAAAACAACCCCACCTCTTACCGCCCAATGTCTCTAACATGTAATATGAGCAAACTATTAGAAAAGATCATAAACCACAGGCTAATATGGCATCTAGAAAGCAAAAAACTATTTCTAATCTTTACGCCCACGACCTTGCCATATACATCAAAACCAAAAACGTCGAAAATACTGCAAGATTTCTTAGACGAACTGGAAAAATGATGACTCAAAACAGGATTTGTCTTCTCCACTGAAAAAACACGCTACATTTTGTAAAAGAAGAAATATGCCTTCTTTCAAGCTCACTTAGAACGGCTCATCTCACACATGTGTAAGAAATCAACTTCAAAGGACTCGCTGGCGATTCTGCCCTGACATGGAAATCCCTAACGGACAGGCCGACAGACCGATCGACATCATCGAGATTTTGTTTCAGATTCCTAGTACTTCAAAGCGTGCATTTCCGTAAAAAAAGGAGGGGGTCATTTTTTACCCCAATGCAATACCCCCCTTACTAACCGTGTGGGGTCAAATGCATGGTACCATGATACTTTGATGCTAATAACAAAATTAAAGGTTAATATCTAACCCTAATTTGACATTAGATAATCAAGTTATTGTTTCCATAGCAGACGCAGATTATCATTTAAAACAAATTCGTGTATTTGCCTATTTTAGCCATCTATTCCATGCATTTGATCCGTTTTTACCACAATTAGTAAGGGACGCATTGCAATGAGGTAAAAAATTACTCCCCACTTTTTTTACTGAAATATGTACACGTTTTGAAGCACTAGGAATCCGAATCAAACAAAATCTCGTTGATGTCGGTCTGTGCTCTCATTTTCGGCTAAAGGACTGAATAGAATAACCCACTGTCTAATAGAACCACTCTGCATAAACACTGATCCACTTTCACCATCCACCTTCGAGAAGGGGTACTAACAGTGATACAATGTTTGTTCGTGGAGAGGAAACCGAACCCACTACATTTCGCATCAGGTTTAGTGGCTATAATTTGCTGGAGATGTGGGAGTGTGATTTTCGGGCATTACACCAATTGTATCATCGTGCCAAACAGGGTAAATCAATTCGATAAGTTGACGTTTGTTCGCTTTATCCATATGTTAATAAGTATGAGAAATGCCCTATCTGACACCCTTACGTGTTTGCAACACCCGAAGATCTGCGTGCCGTCAATTTGGAAACCCGATTTATACCAGATCAAATCCAACCCCATTAAAAGCTCACGTTGCAATGCGTTATATCAAATTAATAATTAAAATCAGCCAGCGTTAGCCTCCAGCTGTGTATTTTATTTTTCGTTTTTCTGTGTTACTTTGAAGTACAACATACCACTTTAACCTAATCTATGCTAATTTATTATTGAGGGTAAAGTAAAATGCTGTTGATGCGACCCGAAAACGTCTGTACCCAGGGAGTGCCGACCATACAATACGATACGATTATAAAAATAATGTTTATCAAAGGTATAAGATTGCAATAAACGAAATATGTAAATTACATTTTAAACTCACAAGTACAACGATACCTTCTTTTCCTATTGGAATAATGCGTATAAAGGAAAAAGGAATTGATACATAATCTCCTCCTCTATGACGCATTTCAAGCAAAATTGGATGAGATGCGCCACTGTTCGTCTGTAATTACTACCTTCAAATTGTGTCGAGCCAAATGTCAGACAGCGCCTCCCCTTTAAGCCCTCATTAAGATCCATAGCGGTCCCATAGAAGGTGGAGAAAGGGGTAGAGGGTAAAGTTTTCGAGATCTTCGAGCCTTTTTATTGCGAAGCTCATACCTGAAGTACGTAAACTACGAACTATTTGAACAATTACATCAATATGTGCCCTGCAATTTCAGATTAGTTCTACGCTAAACAAGTGGATTTAATGGATTTTTTCTTGACGACATGCGTTTTAGTCAAATTGAATGAATATGAATATTCTGGTAATCCACGGGTTTAGATGTAAATTATTCCTCTACTAAATTGGTTATTATCATAGTATAGATTTCTTATTACAATAGTTCCTTGTTTCGTCGTTCGAGGTCGTGCAGATTTTCTTTAATTTCTTGGGCGCACGCACGTCTTTGTACAAAGACGAGATTGGATCATTACTTGTAGAAAAATACCATTACGGTTACTCGACATTTTTTGGCAGCCTTTTTGGGATTTATTGGTGCTGTATAAGTTTAGTGAAGTTTTAAACTTGTCATTTTGCTTTCAACACTTCGCTGATGCATTTATGGATATATTTTGCAAGTTTTAAGGTCGTTTCTTACTTCTGGTTTATTCTTTTTTTCATTATTATTTATTCCCTACCGGATTGTGCTTTCTACATCGATATTCCGTCGAATTTTGGATTTTGTCAATATTGCGCAAGTAAAACAGAATCCCTTGAAATTAATCTCGTAATACCGCCGTTTGAGTTTCATTTATAGTTATTTATTATACAAGACGATAAAGGGATATTTTAACCATTGAGTGAACGATATTAATTCACAAGATGGTTAGTTTCCGTTTATCGTCGTGTATAATACAAAACTTTATTTTATTGCAGAAGCCATATAAATCATTGTAAAGTTTCTGACAATTCTGAATTTAATTTAGAGATGTCAAAAATAGCAAGCTTAAGTTCTGTCGCCGCGATCGTTTCTGTAGAAACTAAATTGTCATATCTGAACGTCATTTTATATCGTGCATTTGAAATAAGAATGACAGATGTCATTAGAATGCACAATCATTTTTTTCACTTTATCTACCTTTACGGTTAAAGTGATCTCTTTTTCTATCCTTACGGTTAAAGAACGACTTAGCCTACTCATTCAAACCTACTAAAATGTCATTTTAACATAATATGCTATAAAATAAACAATTATAGCTCCGTTGTCCGCATTTAAATATTGACATAGCAGATACAGGGTGTAGCACCTAAGACCCCTCACATCTTAATTCGTTTACCATAAAAGATACCGAAAAAAAGTTTTAGAGCAAAATTCTACACATTTACCGTCGCCATATTTCTGAATATTTTTGATCACCAGGGGCGTGCTGTATTCCAGTGGCGTATCAAACGCGTTTTTTTTAAATGGAACACCTCATATTTTATTACTGATTTGGAACGTACTTGAAAAATACTTATTTTTTTCAGTAACATTTTATACCCCTAACTTTCCCGATTTCGCTGTTATAACTTTTTTCGTCAAAATTTGACAGTTTCGCCATTTGACAATTTTGACACTTGGGTTTAGAAAAGAACCTTTTTTTACAAATTGGCGTTTCGACTTGGTTTTTCTCTGAAATTTTCTTATAGAATGTTTTTGTTTATATCAGTGGAAAATTTATAGTTTTGGCTACCCAGAGGTGAGGTATAATTTATTGAGGAGGGTGCCATTTGAAATTTTTAAAAAAGATGCCATTTGGTGAAGGTCAATCAAAAATTTAATTTTTTCGATAAAGTACCTAAAAAATGATGTAACAGTGGAGGGGGTTTTAACCTGTGGCTTAATTAAAAAATTAGCCGCCTGCACGATTGTTTCTCTCAAAAAAATTTCGAAAAACTGTCAAATTTTGACCAAAAACGGTATAACAGCGAAATCGTTAAAGTTGGGGTTACATTTAACCGACCTTGTATCATAATAATGAAGTTAGCAATAGTGTCGACTTAAGTAGAGTTTCAATAAACTTTTAAATGTATACTCGTAAATCATATTTTAAAGTTCAAGTCAATTTGTTGGTGTTTTAGGTTGTAACATTTTGCCCTAAAAGAAATGCCTTATTGTAGTTGCAATGAAGGGTTGAAACTTCTCTTGGTTTAACAAAGTTTTAAAATTCTGAACCAAAGCTGTACAAAATAAAATGAATTACTCTTTCACCGTCGGCTAGCCAATTCTTCACCAACTTTTACCTTCTTTTTTTGTTTTCCTTACTGCAGGGTTTTTCTTTTGTTCTCTGAAGATTACTACAAAAGTTCTAAACCTCATTCCCACTCGTCAGCAAAAAGAAGAACATTAAATGAACATAGAAGTATATTGAAGGTAATTCAATTTCCAAATAGTTTCCACATGCACCTCCCTTTGTATTTTTGATCTATTTAATTTTTCAACTCTAAATGATTCC